GTCTTGTAGAGCCTAATGCATTTGCCGACCACTAAAGGGGGGATGCGGCAATGGGAATAGTAAATTTGGTCTAAATGGTCAATTTCTAAAATTTTTCGTTGTAATCCTGAGACCATGTCTTGGTGAAATATTAGGCCAAAATAAATGGTAGAAGTTGAAAAAAAAAAAAACATTTCAACAACATGCTGTCATCAAAAGCTATGAGAAAGTTGGGCCTCAGGAAATGAAAACCTTGTTGCTTCGTGTTGGCACAGTGCCACTTGGCATCATTGTAAAGAGGGCAGATCTGAGCTCAAGATAGCCACAAAGCTGCATTTCTCCAATGAAAAGTGAAACCAGCTGGGTGTGTTCAGATAAGGACAGACCAAGGGGGGTCCTGACTATTTCTTGTTTTGCTCAAAATTTTTACGTATATGAGCTGGGAGAATGTCGCATTAAAAATTAACCTTTGTTATGCAAAAATTTCCACAGATTTCTGGCAAAGAATCATGTTTCACTGCTGGTGGAAAAGGGCACTTCTGCAACTTTTAGATTTGACAACTTTGGAGACCTACTGCTCAAAAAGTAACGACATCTATCTTATTTTTTTGTTGAACTACTTCAGCTGAGGCATTGGAACCGAAAATACTTCTCAAAAATCTACAAAAGGTATTTCGCTCATCCAAAGAAACAAGCATGCAACAAGATTGCATATTTATTTAGGTATAATAAATTTAAAAAAATGACATTATTGCAAAAGTGACGAAAATTGCAACGCTTTTCAGCCATTAAAAAAAAAATTGACCCGAATCTACATGTTACACTGTAAATGTCGTCGAAAGACGATAGTCTTACGTCTGGAGAGAGTGAACAAAACGTTTATTTGATGTTCTGCGCAAGAAAATCGGTGAATTCTGAAGGCACTGCATTAGAGTGCCTCGAGCATGTAACAGAGGCGAACAAGTGCATCTAGGCACGTTAGACACGAGCGCCATCTGGCAGTTATAGTCTGAAACAAAGACATGCGTGACGGCGGAGAAAGATGCGTGCCAGTCACGGAGGTGATAAGGTGTAGAATGGAAAGCGACGGCCAGGTGCTACCACCGTGTCATCATAGCAAAGCGTTGGAAACACCTTCTTGAGCATCGCGTTGCACTTTCAGCGCAGCACGTTATACGATAGTATTTCTTGGGGACCTTCGACACAGAAATTTTGGTCTGTCTGTCTGTCTATACATTTGACTATTTGTCCACTTTTACCGGCATTTGGTACTTGAAACGGCGACCCCATCTGCAGCGACCACCAATGTTGATCAAGGTTGAGCATTCATGCTTGTGCAATTGTCAATCGAAAAGCAATTATTGCACATGTCTGGGGCACCATAACAACACGCATATGTTCTGCATATGCATCTCTTACTAGAAAATGCAAACATAAGTAATTGTAAGGGCCGTAGTGCTTATCACGCTGCGCTCACCATGCAACGCTTGCACGGAACGGGGAGTGTTTCTAACGCTTTGCTAATACGATATGATGGTGGCACCTACCCATCTCCTCGCGTTCTACACATCACCACTGAGACGCGCGTGCACGGCCACGCGCTTTGTTTTCTAAAAGAAACTGCCAGATGGCGCTCATGTCTCACGTGTGACGCGACTTGATGCGCTCGTTCGCCTCCCCTGCACGCTCGAGGTACTCTAACAGAGCGCCTCCGGGATACCATTCACCGATTTTCTTGTGCAGGACATCAAATTGCTTGATTCTAAAAGCATGAGGATATTTTGTAAACACAACTTTTTTTTCTTGTAAGAGGCCACTAAAAAACAGTTTCAGGAATACCGAGATGCGATGGCAATGCCAACAGTGTTCCTCACAAACTGTACATTATGCTCACCCTTCTGCTGGTTCGCTTGCCTTGTTACTCCCTTTACTAGTCCTCGCTTGTCTAGGAAGTCCCTTTATGCTTGTCTCGCTAGTCCCTTTACTGCCTCGCGAGCGAGCCAGCCATGCATGGTACTTTTCGAACTTAAAGGCAGGTGCAGCTAGTCTCTCAGCTAACAACTATCATGCTGCCACTCATGAAGGTGGTGCACACATGTCGAAAGTAATGCCACTGTTCTGCTCAATAAGATCAAAGGCATATCAGCACATGGTAAATTATGAGAGTATAATAAAAAAGGTTACTGTATCTCACCAATAATATAAAGACATTTAACCGTGTACACCAGTAAAAGGTCATGTGATAGGGATCAAACGAATCTTTGCTTTTTTTTTTTTTTGCCGTCTTGGGGAACCAGTTCTTTTTCGCAACTTTAGTGAACAAAATGAAAGTTTTTTATTAAAAAACAGGGTTCATTCTAGACAATAAAACAATATTTCCATTAGTGGAGTTCTCAGTTAGTGTTCCGAGGGGTTGTATGTCCCTTAAAGTTGTCTTCAAATTGACAGAGCTTATCAAATTACTTTTTTGCTAAAACTGCAGTTTTAGAGAAGTGGCTCACATATAGAGCAGATAAAAGACTGTGCAGATAAGGCTAACAGCAAAATTGTCAGTTTCTTACTTCCCCTTTGCCTTTCTTTTTATGCCATTTTCGTGTGCTATTTGCGGAGCAATCGATACAAAGCCAAGTGGACAAGTGAAAAGGCAAAAAGACCAACTCCCTGTCCAAAAGTGACGATGCGCTACTAAAACACTTATAACCCCTCTGCTTTATATATAAAAAAAAAAAACTCTTATCATTTCCCACTCAGTTTTTTGTCTTTTGCGTGGCCCTAAGTAAGTCTTGCTTACTGCAAACATTAATGAACGGACACATTTGATGTCATGATCTTGTGTCTGTGAGCATTCTCAGAAGTGTTTTGCGTCAAGGTTTCTTATCATTCAACCATATGAAAATTTCCTGTTTTTATGAACCCCATGGCACACACCAAGCTTGGATGTACGCACCTTATCAACAAGATATGTATGTACTGTAGTGGGAAAGAGAGAGAGACAGTATCTAGTCTGAGCAGCTAAAAGACTACGACGAAGAGCTAAGCCCATGAGAGTGACTGACGCCCCTGAAACTAGTCAGTTGGATTAAGCCAATAAATCCCCTTATAGTACCGATGATGTTAATATTCTTCGACCTTTGGTGGTGCAGTCGCATCTTGCCAGCTTATTAGCTTCCCAACACATATGACAAAACAAAATGGTTGATAGTCTGTGCTCTTTCCTGTTATATCACCCTTCTTTATTTCCACACGTTGCGGTGGTTTGGCAGCACAGGTCATTCAAAATTTCATGTTTCTTCAACAAAAACTAACATTTACTTGCTGTAGGAGTAAATGTTAGTTTTTGCTGCCAAGGGGAAGCACTTGGTGCTGCCGTGAAAAAGGAGGTTGTGAAAGTTGGGTTGTCAGTCGCTTTAAATCACACAAAAACCAGAATTTATAAAGAGATTTTGTCTTTCCCGCTGTTGAGTGCCACCATCTTCGCATGGTTTGGAAGGTCAATTTTGCTTTTCTGATCCCATCCTCTTCGCATACAGCATTGTTGAATATAGGGGGAGGGGGGGGGGGGGCAGAATGGATCGGGTGTAATGAAATTGAACGAGTCCTGCCACAGTGGTTTATTGGTTATGCATGTAGGGAAGGACATTTCTGCTCCAGAAATGGAAGCTTGGGGAAGGGCGGAGGATGCTTTTACAAGCGGAGGAGTCAGCTTTTACGTAAAGCGCACGCTGAAAACCTTAATGGTTTTAACTACGCAGTAGAGAAATCTCTCACCGGTACTACATTGCAGGTCAAAGTCCAGTGCCGGCATGCACGTAGTGGCCGGTGAACGGTTGTGCTGTGTAAGAAGTCAGTTTCTTCAAAATAAAGTAATTCTCTAGAAGGCACGGCCTGCTTTGACGTCTCTAGTGGGCCGTGCTAGAGACATCTCCTTGCAAGCTGGCTCTCATCCATCTCAAACATGGCCGTGGTGTGCCACCATATGGTTACGCCAGTGCGGAATGCACTCATAGGCAGTGCCCCCGTTCTCCTAATGTGGTCATGTCACGTTCTCTCCCCAGTGTGTGGGTGAAGTTGTGTTCGGGGACGCTGGCAAGCAACCGTGGCACCATCAAATGTGCCCGATTTGTTTTAAGACAACAGACATGAAAGCAATGTCAACCTAGAATCCTTTCCATATCAGCACAGAAGGCCAACTAGGAGGCAGGAGGTGGCCCTCCAACTCCTCCAGACTGGATCCTTCCTGTCGCCAGCCACTGTGGCCATGTATTATATGGACATTTCACGTAACTGCTTGCCGAGCAATCAACTTGCAGCCTTTCCTCACTTGACGTGGCGGTGCCCCCGCTTCCATGTTTTCACAAGAAAGCATCCTGTAAATGAGGCAGACTTGCTAAAGGTGCACCCCTAGCCCAGACCTTGCGCAAGCAAATCTGGGCAGTTCGGGAGCCTGTGAAATGATCAGGAATCTCCGGTTGCCGGCCCTTTTGCAAGCGATGCCCTTTGTGGGTTCTCCAAAACACTCTTCCCTGGTCGCAAATAAAGTTTGACTGTCTGTAGTACTTTAACTGAAGCAGTTTTTATTTGTGGGAGTGATGTAGACATCACGTACTTTAAATGTATGTGATAACTGTACACTTTGTATAGTTCTGGCAGTTTTCAAGCTTGCCAGGACTCTTCACATGAAAAATATTGTAATACTAACACTACCTGTTTTTAAGTATTTTCAGTATTTAAGTATGATTGAAAGTAATGTTCACCTATTGGATTTCTGTTTCAGTGCACTTGAAATTCATAAAATCTTGAATGTGAAATTGAGAAGGTTACGAAAACCTTGGCATGATATGTGTATGCATGGGATGCTAACATGGAACGGACCTTATGCTACTATAAGTTATAAGAATGCAAGATGCTTATACGTCCGAGCCATTCACTTAAGTCAAGGGCGTAAGTTTTCCAGCCGAGCTGTCCCTGCATTATTGGCGCTGAGTAGGTGAAACTCTGGCCTGGGGACAATATGTTTGCAGTGCCTGAAGAAGGGCGACACAGTGATTGGCCAAGTGAGCGGCAAGCAGGAGAATGGCCTCTTTGTCACCCTGGTCTGCATGGATGGAGGTCTGCGCCGCGAGATTCACGATCTTGCCATTAAGGTGAGTCGCTCCTTCAATGTCATTTTGCTTGGTGTGGCATACTGTGGACGTGGAAGTGCCCCTTTTTTCCCCCTCCTAAAAGCAGTTGGAGTGAAACGAACCACACATTCAAAATAATTTGCTAGTTAGTCTCACATCTCGAAACAGAGCAGCACTTAAGGCTCCCTCTCATATTTTCAAACAATGCTCAACCCAGGGCTTCTCAAGAATGGCAGCATTTTTTAAAATGAACATTCAACATATAGATTTTATGCGCTCACTTGTTGCTCACCATCGATTGTAGCGAGTCCATCTTGTTTCTGTTGTTTATACATATAGTAAAACCGTGTTTACTCAAAGCTGTAACAAACATTACTAAGAAAACAAAGGAAACTTGAGTATACCACATTAAGTGATTCTAAATAACACCAATAATATTCTTTGTCAATAACTTTATCATGCATGTCAGCAGACACATTTGCATCTACTGACAGCAGGGTTTGGGGCCCAACATTTGGTGATAAATTATAATGTGAGGCTGTAAACTTTCCATGAGTGGTGCAAGAGCCTATGGGCATGCCTGTCAAATCTGCAAAAGTGCAGTGTGATGCCTCGCACCATCCTAAAGAAGAGCTGATTGAACTAGAAAATGCTCGGGTTCAAAAAATCAACTTTGTTGAAGTCTTTACAGTTGCTGCCAACCAACACTAATAGTTCGGGAAAGTTTGGTGTGGGCTCATACATAGAAAACCATAAATCCACCCGGCGCCCGCCCTTGTATATTCTTGGTATGTGTCTCGCTTTCTTGCGTTGTTTTTAGCCGTGCTCCATAATAGGTGTAAATATATTGACCTTTGATTGTAAATGTTGAGTGATTATACTAGAAGTTGATGCTGTTGTCATTTGGAGTTCAATATCGCCATGCACCATTGAACCAATTTCCGGACAAATTTTTCGCAAAACAATGTCACATTAAAGTCCTTTACTTATATCAAACTATCCGGAAAATAGACCTATGAGAGTGGAACAAATGAAAGTATGCTCAATTTGGAACTTCTTTAGAAAAACGATAGAAAAACTGGATTACAAGGGAAATCAACATATATCAAAATAATCTAGAGCGGAATTTCATACAGTTCTGATCCTAGACAATTGTGATGTGCTGATTTGCATTGTAATCGTCACATCTTAGAAAAGAATCTAGTTTCTAGCAAGTAGCATCAAATTTGTTTTTTTTTTTTTCAACGCATACTGTACCAGGAAAAAATATTGTACCAGAAAAAAAAATGTACATGACTGTGCAACTGCCATGAAAGCTTGTGCGAAAATAAGACACTTATCTAAAGCAGGTTGCCTGATGTTTTTAGAGGGACTTCCTCTTTTTTTACAGCCTGGCACTCGGTTAAATTTAAACTGTGCAGGCTTTCCTGTGAAATGCAAATTATCGGTCTTTTACTGTATACATTGCGATTCTATCACAGCATCATATCTTAGTTTTTTATTGTGTTCACAATTATTTTAGCATTAAGAAAGCAGCCTTCGTGGTTCTTTTCTTGTTTATTTTTTTTTGTAAGGCACTCATCATTATAAAGACGCACCTAATTCACATTGTCAGAAAGAGCAAAGAAAATGACTTCCTTATTGTGCACTCGTCGACACTTTCAAAAGCTTTTTGTGCTATGACACTTGTGCACGAAAAAAAGTCTGCAGAACTGCAAAGGTATGTAGTGCGTTTTAATTATCCCTCATGTCTGAGATCAAGTGGCTTCCACTTTCTTTTTAATGGCATCTTCTGAACTGATCGTCTAGGTAAACACTGCATGTTTTGAACACAGCCATAGGCCTTTAACCTTTCTATACTTGCATCAGAGGTTTGCATGCCTTGCATAGGAGCTTTTGGAAGATTACAGTAAATTATGCAATCTTCTTAAATGGCAAAACAGCAGCCCTTACTGCATGGGGTACCTAGTGATTCTAAGTACGAACGGAAAACCTGCAGTGCAGCAATGCGCATCGATAATTGTTTCACATATTGTAATTCAAGTTATTTAAAATGGCTATGAAACATTGAACGAGGTTTCCTTAAAAATGTTTCGAATCCATACGCAAGTGGATTCTTGCGATAATCACGCATTCCACCAGTTATTGGTATCCTTTTAACTTCACTAACATGGGTTGTCAAGCAGTTGAGGTCCCAACAAAAAGGAGACACTGTGCACCATGGCCTTGTGCATTTGTTTTCTTATTTGAACATACTTGCTGCTGATTCTTGTTCAGGCATGCACAGTGCCTTCATGGCATGCTTGGGTGTATTGGGCTATATTTCAGCATGTATTCAATACATTAAATTGTGAGTCATGCTCCTCAAAAACACAGTGCATGAATAGAAGTTCATTGTGCGTTTCTTCGGGCGACATCTTAAGAGTTTTTAAAAACTTGGCGTTTCCCAAGTTGTGCATGCATGGATCTGATGCAAGAGCTAAAGTCAACTTAGTGTAGTACTGCTACATCTTTGTGCGTTCTTTGAAAACTTTTCCAATTGCTTAGCTGTTTTAAAATCTGCTCGTTTTTTTCTAAATACAATTACCAATATGAATGATTTAAACTGCAGTTTGTGTTGCTAGGATTAAAGAAATATTGCTGATATGTTGTTTTGTGTGGGAAAGCAGTTTCACGATGTAGTCAACTGTGTGAAAATAAAGTTGGCCTGATGCGCTGTGAGCCTGGATTGTTTGAAACTGATTGCAGCCGCTACACCATTTTTACACACTCAATGATTTCAAGAACCAACCTGTGCAAAGTACCTGCTATGTAAAGTACTTGCAAATATTAATGCCAGAGCGCTATGTTCGACTAAGCAAGCAGCACGAACAATGTCATGGGCATAAGATAAATAAAAATATTTGCATCATTCATGCCTTTGTTTGATCTTACTGTTTGCTTTTAAGTTCAGTGGCTGCTATACTGGATGATTTGTTTGCACTTGTGCAATTTATGCAACAAAGGCATCTTGATTGCCTCAAGTGGTACTGCTTGCTTACTGCTTCTATGAGCAGTCTCGTTCAACTTCTCCTTGCCACTGGAGGATAGTGTGATATGATGTCCCTTCTCTTAGCCTATGCCAGGTAAAGTATGTTCTTAATCGTTAATTCCCTTGAGCATTGTAGATTTGCCAAAATGGTCGTCAATCTGTGTGTACCTGTATATGTCAGTGATAACGAGATGGCAGGATAGACAAGATTTCTCTGTTCTGTACCAACAAATTTAAAATGGCTATTGTGCGGTACGTATAGAGGAAAGGAAAAGTGACTACTCAACAGAACTAAAGTGGCTTGTGATGCCACACTTAACATGCATGTAGGCGTTGCATCTTTGCATAGATAAGCAATGTCACGGACACCAAGAGCAGTGAGATTGAGAAACATTTACGAAAGAATATGCATGAACGAAATCATTGGAAGAAGTTGGGAAATGACTTAGTCCGAATGTCATCAATTGTAGTTTTGGTTGAGCATCACTAGATACCTTTCCCCTGCCAGGCTCCCTTCCTCATCTCAAACAGCCGAACTCCAGGTGGGAAAATTAGGAATTAGTGAGGGAAACAGCTAAGCTATGCAAGCACATTTGGAGGAATCATAGTTAAGCTGCTGGGTTTCTGTTGAACTGTATTTTACCCTTCATTCACGACAGTGTGTGACGACCATAAATGGACACCAAAGAAAAAAAATGCTATTTTTAAATTAAAAACAATTTCACAATACAGAAAGTGTCACTCATGCTTCAAAGTGACTCCGCGAGAAAATACAAGGAGGTTGTGAATGTGATAACATTTTATAAAATCAAGAAAGCTTGCTACCTTGGAAACATCTGTGGGAGCGTGCCAAGATGTCTGCAGATTTTCACGACATCTGATTGTGCTCGTGTAATCATTTAATGGTGTTCTAGGGAACTTAAAAGGGTACTCACACAAAATTTCGGGGCCGAGATAGCTTGTGGGGTTGATTCCCATGAACATTCATATATCTGCAAAATCAACAGCGAATATAGCTTGGAAGGCATTTTAAATCGATTTTGAAATTTGCGCGAGTGCTCGACTACATCGTGCTATCGACACCCTTGAAGGGGACCCTTTGGAGACCCCTTACTTCCTTCATGTCATCATACTGCTGTCAATAAAACAAGTTACGATGACGTCATAGCCGCCATTCTTTTGCCGCGTTTGTTCCCGCAGTTTATACTTCTCAATGACTGGTCGCAAGTGGGCGGCTATGGCACACGCTTTGAAAGTTTTGTGTTGCCCCGCCGCGGTGGTCTAGTGGCTAAAGTACTCGGCTGCTGACCCGCAGGTCGCGAGTTCGAATCCGGGCTGTGGCGGCTGCATTTCCGATGGAGGCGGAAATGTTGTAGGCCCGTGTGCTCAGATTTGGGCGCACGTTAAAGAACCCCAGGTGGTCGAAATTACCGGAGCCCTCCACTACGGCGTCTCTCATAATCATATGGTTGTTTTGGGACGTTAAACCCCACATATCAATCAAATATCAAAGTTATGTGTTTGGCGACACTGCAGTCCTATTTTCCTATTCGAAAGTAATTCTTGATGCGGACCATGTGACAGTCACAGATCTGTGTACTGATGTGGTCGAGAGCTGCACACACTAGGTGGCAATAGTTGCACCCGGAGGCTTCTCGTTTTTGCAGCTTTCTCAAGCCGAAACTAAAACTAGTCAATCATGAGGGGCCTGTAATTAATTATCTGTTGCATGCTGTAACAAACATTCTGTTGTGTTATTACTAACAAGGCCCCAGCAACACATCGCAGCATAAAAACGCGAGGCAGCAGATTGCAGCAGTTAAATGCGAGGCCAAAGTTTTTGCATCTGTACTTCTTTAAACTCATGACATAGCAAGTGTCAGAAAATGTCATTGGAAGATTATCGTGAAAATACGCAAAAAAGATATAGCAAATTTGTAACATTGCAGTGACGTTCATGCTCAGGGTTTGGTAGAAATTCAAACATAAG